CCCTGCTGGGCTCCGGCAATCTTTCCACCTCAGCCTTCCAAGTAACTGGAACTACAGGCACATGCTACCATGCCCAGCTAATTTTTTGATTTATTGTAGAGATGAGGTCTTGCCAAGTTGCCCAGGCAGGTCTCGAACCCGCAGGCTCAGGCAATCCACTTATCTTTTAATATCCACTTGTCTTTTCTCATGATTCTTTAGAAATCAACTGTCCTCGACCACATGTTCCACATGGAAACATTGTCTCTGGATTCGGATCCACCTATGTTTATCAAGACTCTATTTTGTTTAACTGCCAGAAAGGTTTTCGGCTCAATGGAAGCAATTTAATTCACTGTGGAGCTGATAACAAATGGAATCCTTCTCCTCCTATTTGTGAACCCAGTAAGTATGGCATGAAGGAATTTCAATGTATGGCATCTGAAAGTACCGAGAAATGTTAGTGTGGGCCTAGCCACACTTTGAATCACAGAAAAACTTTAAATTTAGATAAATAATTTCCTTCATTTTTTTTTCTTGTTAGAAAGAAGAATGATTTCAGTACAAGGTCATATGTCATCACACAAGGCTGTGATATAGAGTTGTGTAGGTTATGCACACTCCAGTCCTAAGGGGAGGCATTAACATTGTAGACATTGTGGATTAGTATATTTATTTTTAACAATTTTCTGACATTTGATAGAATTATCAAATTTTTGTTAGTATAACAAACAAAATAATTATATAATGATAATTATTTTGAAAACAATGTCCTGAGGAAAAATGTCTTGCCCGGGCGTGGTGGCTCAGCTTGTAGTCCCAGCACTTTGGGAGGTCGAGGTGAGGATTGCTTGAGCCGGGGGGTTTGAGACCAGCCTGGGCAACTTGGTGAGACCTCGTCTCGACAACAAATCACACAAAAAACTAGCCGGGCATGCATCTGTAGTTCCAGCTACTTGGAAGGCTTAGGTGGAAGGATCACCTAAGCCCAGCAGGTCAAGGCTATGGTGGCAAGAGTGAGACTCCAATTCAAAAAAAAAAAATCTTTCCCTGACTTGCACAAAGGAATTGTATGGACTAGCTAAGATTCTATCACTCTGAAGTTACAAACTCATGTGGATTATTAAAAATAGTGATAATAGTAATAATGATGTTTTGGCATTAGACCACATGCAAAATAAGAATTAACTCAGTAAATCCTCCCAGTCTTGCAGAAGAGCTATTCAGTAGATGTAGCAGCCAAGTGGCATCTCCCAGTTTCCCAGAATGGAAGAACTACTGTGGGCAGCTAAGGCAGCTAGTGAATATTGGCAGATCTTATTCTCCCTGGCTCTGGGCTGTGGAATATGTATTCAGGCACAGCTGGATGGCAATGCCAGTTCCTATTTTCCCCCCACCATTAGGGAAATGAGTTCTCTAATTCCTTCCAGCTCCTGATCTATAGAAAGAGTTGTTCTAGGGGATATTTGGAACAAGCTTCAAAGACTGTCAACAGTCTGCCCCTACTAATGTGTCTGACTTTAACTGAATCAGAGTGTGAAGCAATTTATGTCTCAGGGAGTTGTAAGGAAAAAAAAATAGAGCAATCAGGGAAAAGTTACTGAGGCTAGCAGTTATATGTAACACCAACAGAGGCAGAGCAGTCAATAGCTCAGTGAGAAAGAGACAGTCAAAAAGAAAGTCATAGTCATTCCTGGAGGTTAGGAAAATTGTGTATATGACCTGAGCTCTGTTCTCTGAGGTATGCCAGTAGACATTACACACTTTGCGGGAAATAGACTTAACAGAACTAGTCCAGGTCAAGTCACAAAACAAGTAAACAAGCAAACGAGGAAATAATAACAACAGACCCTAAAGGAGGTAAGGGAGAATCACTATCCAACATTGCTGCAATATATTATCAAACATGTTCAGCTTTTAACAACAGCAAAAAATTATCAGACATGCAAAGAATCAGGAAAGAGTGACCCATACAAAGAGAAAAAAAAATCCAACAACAAGAACTGTCTTTGAGAGGCCCCAGAAAAGTTCAACGAAGTTCAAAGCAGCTAGTATAAATATGTAATAAGAACTAAAGGAAATTTCAAGGAAACAACATTTAAAGAATTAAAGAAATATGACAATGTCTTATTAAAGGTGAAATATCGGTAAAGAGAGACATTATTTTAAAAAGCAAATGGAAGTTCTGGAGTTGAAAAACTGTAAGTAAAATAAAGAATTCAAAAGAGGAACTTGACAGTAGATTTAGTTAGCAAAAGAATCTGAATTTGAAAATACAAGAGGGACCCCAAGAAAGCTGGAAATATTTTTTGAAGGACAGGCCCTTTGTAGTACAGGCGTTCCCCTGCTAGACAAGTGTTCTAGGAACTCATCAGCATCAGTTTACCAGCTAGCATCATTGTGAGAGACTGTGTTCAGCTTCAATGAAAATTATTTTTGGAGATTCTTTCAACACGCTTTCTCATTTCAAGATGAGTTGTTTATGAGCACACCTGCCCACACTGTGCTGACTATTCAGCAGTTTTTGACCAAAAACAGCATGACCCCAGTGCCCCACCTCGATATTCACCTGATCTCACCCTGGGCAACTTTTTTTTCTTTTGTTTCCCTGGATGAAAAAAGCCCTCAAAAGGAAACATTTTGCCAATGTGAAAAGGAGAAACAAAAAATGGCAGAAGCACTAAAGGCATCAAAATTGATGAATTTCATCTTTAAAATAAACAAAAAAACTGATAAGTTTAAAAACTGTTTTGAGTGGTGGAAAAAGTGTCCTGATAGGTGTTTTGCATCAAACGGAGAGTACTTTAAAGATGACTGAAGTTTAAACATGCAAAAATAGATACACCATCTTTAAATAAATTCACTCTATTTTGGGGTTCCCCCCCATAGATTGATTGATATTATACAATCTGAAGTACAGAGAGACTAAATCATGAGGAAAAATGAACAGAGCATCAGAAATGTGGGACACCATTAAGTGCACCTACATATGCATGAGAGTTCCAGAAGAGGGAAAAAGAAAAAGGAGCAAAAAAATGATTCAAAGAAAAAACGGTTTGAAATGTCCTGAATTTAGACCAGGCGCAGTGGCTCAAGCCTGTAATCCCAGCATTTTGGGAGGCAGAGGTGAGGGGATTGCCTGAGCCCATGTGTTCGAGAACAGCCTGGGCAATTTGGCAAGACCTCATCTCTACAATAAATCCAAAAATTAGCCAGGCGTGGTAGTGTGTGCCTGTAGGTCCAGCATATTTTGAAGGCTGAGGTGGAAGGATCGCCTGAGCCCAGCAGGTTGAGGCTGTGGTGGCTGTGAGCATGCCACTGCACTCCAGTCTGGGCGATGGAGTGAGCCTCCAACTCAAAAAAAAAAAAAGAAAAGAAAAGAAAGAAATGTCCTAAATTTGACAGAAACACACACACACACACACACACACACACACACACACACACACACACGCACACACACACACACATTAATCTGCGTATCTAAGAAACTCATTGAACTTAAGTAGTATAAATGCAAAATAATACAGACCTGAAGACATCATAGTCAAAATTTGAAAGTCAAGACTAAAGAGAAAATCTTAAAACCCCAGCAAGGGAAAAACAACATTATCAGGTACAATGTAAACCTAGTAAGATTAAACAACGAAGTGTTATCAGAAGCAATGGGGGTCAGAAGACAGCAAGATGACATATTCTAAGTACAGAAAGAAAAAACAATCAACCAAGAATCCAGCAACACGTTTCATATCTACATATGTTACAAACTGTACAATACAGTGTTATAATTATTGTTTTATATAATTTTATGCTTCATGTCTTTTATGTCAGCCGAGAAAAGAAAAGAGAGTAAATACATATTTACATAGCTTATTATGCTAATCTTCTTATTAACCATTTTTGGTTCTCTTTATTTCTTCCTGTGGATTCAAGTTGCCATCTTGTGTCATTTCTGTACTACAATACAGCTTTGTTCCCACCTACCTCTTTGTGCTGTTATTGTCAAATATATTGCATTTCCATATGTTACAGGTTTAAAATGCAATTATATTCATATTATGCTATTCAATTGCTGCTTAAATCATCTAAGAGAAGAAAGGAGAAGAAATATACGATTATATTGTCTTTTTAATTACCTACATAATGACTTTTGCTGGTGCTCATTGTTTTTGTGTGTGGATTTAAATTACTGTCTGGTGTCACTTGCTTCAGTCTGAAGAACTTCCTTTAGTATTTCTTGTAAGGATAGTCTTCTGGCAACAATCAGATATCATTTCGCATTCATCAGAATGACTTTAATAAAAAAGATAGACAATAACAAATATTGGTGAAGATGTGGAAAAATTGGAACTTTCATATACTGCTGGTGGAAATGTAAATTGCTGTTGCCATTTCGGAAAAGAATTTTGACAGTCCCTCCAAAATTTAAGCATGATGTTACCATATGACCTAGCAATGATCCTCCTAGGACTCCACCCAAGAGAAACGAAAACAGATGTCCACAAAAAAAATTTTACATAAAGATAATTCATTTTTATATGAAGATAATTTATAGCCGCATTACTTATAGTAGCTAAACAACACAAATGCCCAACAACTGAATAGTGGATAAACAAAAGTGATCTATCCTTAAAAGGGAATCTCATTTGACAATAACAATCACTTGAATACTGATATATATATTACAACATGGTTGACCCTTGAAAATGTTACGTAAAAATGAAAGAAGCCAGTCACAAAAGAACATGTATTTTTATGATTCAACTTATTTGAAATGTCCAGAATAGGCAAATATGTAGAGAGAAAATGTAGTTTAGTAGTTGTCAGGACCTGTAGGGAATTGGGAATAGAGTAACTGCAGATGAATATGGGATTTCTTCTTGGGGTGGTAAAAACATCCTGAAATTAGATAGTGGTGATAGTTGCACAACTCTATGGATATGCTAAAAACTATTGTGCTGTGTAGTCAAAATGGGTGAATTTCAGTTTAGATAATTTGTATCTCAATAAAACTGTTTGAAAATAACTTTATAAGCCGGGCTCGGTGGCTCAGCCTGTAATCCTGCGCCTTTGGGAGACTGAGGTGAGTAGACTGCCTGAGCCCGCGGGTTTGAGACCTACTTGGGCAGTGAGACCTCATCTCTACAATAAATCAAAAAATCAGCCGGGTGTGGTAGCACATGCCTGTAATTCCAGCTTCTCGGAAGGCTGAGGCGGAAGGATCGCTGGAGCCTAGCAGGTGAGGCTGCAGTGGCCGGGAGCAGCCACTGCACTCCAGTCTGGGCAACCGAGTGAGACTCCAACTCAAAAAAACAAAAAAAACAAAAAGAAAATAACTTTATATACCATGAAATGTTTGACAATAAAATATAATAAACATCCAACTTAGTAGATGTTTACATTTTCACAGTATAGTAGCATCCAGGAGCATCAGGAAAAAGGGAAGAGGACAAGATCCAAAACTCAGGCTCAAAAAATGCTAGGAGCTTAGTTTGTTCTTGCCAAATCATTAAACAATAAAGTTCCTGGTGTCATCTGGATGAGGAAATGATTCTTTTTATTTTCCCCAATCTGTCAGGAATCATAGAAAGCTAGGTTTGCTCATCAATGACAATTTTCCTGGCATTTTTACCTAGCAAGCCTACTGCTTCAATTAAGAAACTAAAATTTCTGAAGTACAATGTAGAGGAAGGAGAATTAATATTATGTATAGTTGGCACAGCACACAGAAGCTACTTGAGGTACCTTTAGTAAAAATATCTCTGGTGCTATGTGTATTTGGGTGAATATCCATGTGTATTCTCTGGTTTGGCTGATACATCAGCCCTTGCAGGCTGGTTCCAGGCTGAATAAACCCATGACACCCTTTGAAAGGATAGGCTCATTGAATGCTGTGGCAGCCCTAGTTTTCCTTGTCTCTTTCTTCATCAGTAGGTAGTTGTACTGACTTACCAGACATTCCACATGCTTCCTGGGACAGATATCTTAGCCCACCAAAAGAGGAAGTGCATGTTGTTGGAACTGTGTTAAAGTACCACTGTCATCTTGGCTACAAACCTGCAACAAATGAGCCTACAACTGTGACTTGTCAGGAAAATTTGAGATGGACCTCATACAAAGGGTGTAAGGGTGAGTTTTTGTTTTTAAATATTTTTGTGTATTAAATATCCAGTATGTGCTAGAATTCTCTACCTTAAATGAACATAATTTTATCCCTCAAAATAAATTTAGAACTATATTCATTCACACAATAGTGAACTGTTATTTCTAGAAGGAACCATAAATGTCTTAGAGTTTGGGGTGTTAAGAAATTAATTTCTCAGAATCAAATGAGAAACAGACACAGAAGTTAATAAACATTATGCAGATTAGGCTTTAGCTTCCTTCTGATAAAGCTAGAATGGAGAATACAGTTCAACTACTGTCAGAGTCAAACTTCCTTCACAACCTTTACCTCCCCACTGTTGACTTAGGGGTGCTTGGCAGTAGAGTCTGTGAAACAATCATGAAACTCAACCAGCTGCTAGGTGACTTGCATCTCATGCCTCTTGAGCCATGAGATAGCAGGCTGACAGAGCTGGGTATCCTATTCTGCCTCTAGAAGACAGATCCTGACTCCTGATCCAGTATTCTTACATCAGGAGAATAGAAAGGAGACTTTCTCCAGTTTCACTGGTAGAAGAGTTACTTCAATTTGTGGGAATATAAGGGGCTGATGGGCAATTGGTTGCTATTTTATGGGCCTCAATGGAATTGGCAAGAGAGGGAGAAAAGGCTGCCTTCTACCCATCTATCAGAACCTTGCCATTTTAGAGGTGAAGACACTGAAGCCCAGGATACAGATAATTTTATGCTACATATCAGAATGTGAAAATGTGTGATATACACAAATAATTAAAAGTGGTAGTTTAGAGCAACCTATCAGAAAATTATTTATTTCATATTAAGATTTAACAAAGTTTACTTGTAATTATTTAGGCTCATTTTGTGAAACAGAATAAATGATTTTAATAAAAGGACTGAGTTAATTAAAAATATATTTAGCAAAACTTGTTGCCACTACTTAAATAGCAAAGCATTACTTACAGAAGTTTTAAAACCTTCTTTTCTGAGTTATATTTTTGAACTCATGTTTGTCATATTGATTTTATTGTTTAATAAGTTATTTTTAACTATTTAAAAAGCAGAAGTGAAATGGTATTTATCCAAGTTATGAAATCTGATCAAATATGAATTTAGACTCATGACTTCGATATTTAAAGTATTTCCTACACTGTAAAGCATTACATAAATATTATTGCTTTTATAATAGAAAAATCATATGAATTCTGTGTTTTATTTAATTCATAAACAAATGAACACTGAAAATATTTCCGTATGCCTGAAAGACCCCATTGTAGTGCTGGTCAAGCTTCTAATACAGAGAACTTATTGTGCTCTGATGTTTTCTCCTATGTCAGGCAATATCAAGTTCATTCTTAAAGAATTTCTACTAATGAATAAAAATTATATCCCTATATCAACTCTTATTGTATAAAAAAATGAAAAAATTTGACTGGGCATAATGGCTTATACCTATAATCCCAGAGCTTTAGGAGGCCAAGATGGAAGGGTCACCTGAGTCTAGAAATTCAAGACTAGCCTGGGCTACATAGTAAGATCCCATCTCTACAGAAAAAAAAGGAAATAGAAAGGAAAATAAATGAATAAATAAATAGAAGAAGGAAGAAAGGAAGGAAAAGGTAGGGATGGAGGAAAGAAAGAAGGAAGGAAAGTTTAACTAGTTATTTCTCTTAAATTTTGCATCAAAAAGAAAAATTCTTGCCATAAGCAATAATTTAAATTTATTTGTATGCATTAGCTGCCAGGTGGATATATACTTTTGAGAACATTTTTCATCTTTGTGACTTCAGAAGCATAAGTTAATAGAGAGCTTAATAATGATGTAACTCCAATGAAGCCATAAGTAAATGAATACAATTTGTCATTTCTCTTGAATAGTTTTGAAAATTTACATTTTCATACAAGTTTAACCTAACTTTTTAGTTTGGAGATTCCTAATGAAAATGTTTAGTTGTAGGAGAATGACTGGATTAGAGTACTTTAGCAAGTCAGGGGCAGGGAGAGCAGACTGGAGCGTCCTTTTCTATTTCCCCAACCTCTTTTCAGAGGTGAGATCCCTCAAAGGTGAAAATGATTGTTAGCCATAGAAGCCTCCTCATGGTGATTTTATTAACCATTTGCCTCATTTTTAATTATTTAGAGATATGTTGCCCAATACCAAAGCTACAGATTAGTGAAATCACTCAACATAAAAGAAGTCATCCTGCCAATGACTGTGTCTATTTCTATGGAGACCAGGTTTCATATTCATGCTATGAGGACCATAAGTTATTAGCTACATGCAGAGCAGATGGCACATGGAATCCCCAAACACCATCATGTGATGACAGTAAGTCTTCATAGAATTATATTAGTTTGGTATTTTCTTCATATCAATGTGATGGAGATTTTGAAGGCAAGATTTTAAATTAGGCAAAAGGATTTGTATACCCTTCATGGTTCTTGGAGTGGAACCCACTTTCTCCTTTTCCCACCATTGTTTGTTTCCATTCTTTTTGCCTTCCCCGTTTCCTCTTCTTTGCTGAATCAATGAAAATAAACCATGTCTAGCTGTTTAGCCAAACTTCCCAATTACTGCTTTTTGTTTCTTTGTATTTATTCTCTTTTCTTCTCTTATTTCTAGCCCATACGTCTTAACCTGCAGAACAAGACCTCTCCAAAGCAAGCTTTCTGAGCTTGCTTTCTTCTTCCTCAAACAGCAGCTGTCTGCTGTCTCTAGGCCCTCTAGTCAGACGGTCACCCCAATGTCAAATGTTTCCTTCTTCCCCCACCAAGAGGCCCTAGTGCTAAACACACTCTTCCCTTTTCCAGTTATGTTTGATAGCCCTATATAGTGATGATCAGGACCTATTATCCCTATCAGGAACCATAAGGAGCCCAAAGTGGCCAGGCATTAGTTGCATGCTAATAAATCATTAGTTGATTTATTTTCCTTATAAATCAATAGGAAAATTCCTTTTATTGGTTGAAATGTTCCTGCTTTGCCAACCAGGATTTTTAAAACTGCAACTCCCAGAGTTTCAGGGATTCTCATCCCTGAGTACAGATTCCCCAAGTGGGTTACTTAGAGTGGTGGTCAGTGGTACTGAAGCTACTCATGCTTCCATCTCTTGGTTCATGGACTCATGCATTTATTTAATTGGGAAACCAGAACCATATAAAGGCCTGTGTGATTAAAAGTAAATACTGCATTCTGGAAGAAAGCATCCCCTCATTGTCAAGCGTTGCCTCTCAGCTGGTGTTTCAACTGTTCCTTTAACAGGTCATTCCAGTGTTCTCACAGGTGAGTAGGCTCTGAGTGATGCAATGTGGGATCTGAGCAGTGAATTCCATGACCATGGTCCCAAAATCACACCTTTTTTTTTTTCCTGTGAATGGACCTTCTAGTTAGATGTAGTAGATCCTATGCCAATTGTTTAAATACTCTGCAGTCCTTCAGATAACAGTGCTGACTGAGGCCCTGCAGGCAGGAAAGGCAAATCCATACTTGCAATATCTGCCTACTTCTATCTGAATAAATTATTCATCCTTAAAGGATAAAGGGGGTTCAATATAGTCAACCTACTAACAAGTGGCTTTGGTATTGCTTCAAGGGATGGTGTTATACCAGGGACTTAGTATTGCTGCTGGCAGGTTGGAAATTCAGGGATAGCAATTAGCCATGATGAGTGGAAGTCTATGCTGTTGGGCCCATGCTTAACCTCCATGTATGCCACTAAGACTGCTTTGTCTCTCTTCCTTTGGTGCCAACACCAGTGAGACCAGTGACAGAGAATGGCTGACTTCAACTGGCTGAGATTTTTCTGCTTGATTCTGTAATGTCTCTTCTATTGGGAATGCTCTGGTGTTAACATACAAAATAAAAATCTTCACACTTCCTGCCCATTCTCATATTTCCACTTATCTGCTTCTATCCAAGAGTTCCTGTGCCCAATCTTACAATTTTTCTCCTTACAGAACTCTAACCAGATGAGCCATTTATTCCATGCCATAAGTCCTAACTTAGTCGATCTTTTGTTCACTTTTGTTCACTTTTTTTCAGGTGTATCACCTACAGCTCTGCCTAGCAGGAAGATTTCCCCTTACTATTGTCTTTTGAGGCCACCCTTACTATTGTCTTTTAAGGCCACCCTTATTTGACCCACCCTTATGGGTTCTATCCATTTTAGCACACTGAAGGAGTCAAGAGCATGCCATCCCAAAATAAGCCAAGTTGGCATATGAATTATTTCAAATCGAAAACATTAAAGAAATTGTAGTTTCAGAAAGGGCTATCTGATCTTTCTCGTCCTATATGCAGGAAGCCGATAAGACTCCTCTAGGAGAGCTAACTTCCTCGTACAAGAGTGAGAAAATAGCCCTTCTCGCTGGAGACTAGGAATTGGTGGCTTCAGTGGACCTGAATAGATAAACTTCCCGAAATAGTAACCCTTATCATCCACTAGTTTTACACTGTTCCCCACCTTATATCTCCTAGTGAGTCTCCTAGAAATTTACTGTCTCTGTCCAGATCTTTTTTGTCCTGTCATTTCTTCTCAAATGTATCATTCTTTGTCTAAACAGTATAAAAGCATCTTAGTTTGGTCACTTCTTCAGATTTCCCTCTCTTGTGAAGATCCCATGTACCTGTAAAACTAAGACAATTTGTATTCTTTTCTCTTGCTAATTTGACTTTTGTCAACTGGGTTTCTAGATCCAGCCAAAGAGTCCACAGAAGAACTAAGGAAGGAAGGCTTGGAGGTGATCATTCCCCTACAACACATGCCAAAGATACTCAACTGTGAAGCAAGCTCACACTTTTCCCTGTTCTGTCACTTGGTGATAATGGATAACCCGCATGGCCATAGTGTGAGCTTAGGATCAGGCACTCATGCAACCACGGCTGGGCACAAGCAGGGATTGGGCTTTTTATTTGTACAGCTTGCCTGTGCCATACAGTCCTACTCATGCTCAATCTGAGATGCACCACTTCCATCTTATAATGGACCTGCCTGACCTCACAACTTGCTGAGTCTGACAGACCCAACTATGAGTGATTCTGGATGCATGGTCACCTGATGACCCAATTTCAAGAGCTTTGTTCTATAAGGACAAAGTAACATGCCAAGAGTTTTATTTAAAAAAGCATATAATTCTCTGCTGCAGTGCATGGTTTCACTCTGAAATTTCAAGGGTCGATGGTATAATTGTCCCATTTACATTTACATCTTTTCCTTGTATAGACACCTCAAATACCCTAAACTTTGCAGGGGCCTAAGGCCCAAGCAACACAGATGATTTCATTGTAAACTAGACCTGTCTCGCCCTTTCCTAACATGATCCCCACTCGAATCTGGTACTCTTTTGTGTCACCTAGCATATGAGTTGAAGTAGTATTCCCAAGTCTCAGTTATGCCACCTGAAAATCCTGCTAGGTGCTGTGTTTCTTTTTCATGGTGGAATGTGCAATTTGCAACAATAATTGTAGCTTAATTTGGATGGGATAGCTTAGTGTTCTTGAATTCTGGATCTCTAATAATCTCATTGACATTGAAAGCCCCTGAATCTTTTTTTTTTTTTTCCCCCGAGTTGGAGTCTTATTCTGCCACCCAGACTGGAGTGCAGTTGCAAGATCATGGCTACCACAGCCTCGACCTTCAGGACTCAGGCGATTCTTCTGCCTCATCCTTCCAAGTAGCTGGGACTACAGGCATGTGCCACCATGCCCGGCTAATTTTTTTATTTATTGTAGAGATGAGGTTTCTCCAAGTTGCCTAGGCTGGACTCAAACACCTGGGCTCAGGCAATCATCTCTCCTCTACCTCCCAAAGTGCTGGGATTTCTGGTGTGAGTCACCATGCCTGTCCTGAATTTTTATCTTCTATACTCTGGCACAACATCATGCTTGCTACTTTGTGCTCATTCAGTAGAATTATGATGATGCCATTGATATATTGAATCAACGTGATGGTCTGTGGATATCCAAATGGTCAAGATATGTATTATGATTGGGTCAGGAGGGTTATTATAGCTCAGGGACAAAACTGTAAATGTATTCTCTTGACCCTTCTATGTATATGCAAACTTTCTCTGGTCCTCTTTGTTGATAGGGATGTAAAAGAAGGCCTTTACTAAATTGGTGACCTCATTTACCTGAAACCACATTAATATACTCTAGCAAAGATGCCACATCTGGTACAGTGGCTTCAATAGACACAAAAATATTGTTGAATTTTCAATGGGGTACTGTAGTTTCCAGAATCCTTCTAATGTTTGTAGTAGGCAGGCTGGTGAATTTAATGGAGATGTAATGGGAATGGCCACTCCCATGTCTTTAGCTGTTTGAGTGTCACACATTTCCCTATTCCCATCCTACCTCTGGGAAATATAGTGGTTTTTAAACTTTTACTTTCTTTGCCTTGGGGAGGGTGTGAAGTGGGTGAGCAGTATCAATTGCTTCCACTTGGCATTTATATCCTAGATCTTACCCTACAGGCCAAGGACCCAATATGGGAGGTTGGGCCAAAAACCACTTTTGTCTATTCCAACCATACTTTCAAAGATAATGTACATGACCAAGTGGTATAATAGAAGAATCATAATGGTATCAGTGTCAACTCAAGTTTTTTGTCTAATAATCTTTGGGTTATTGCACACCTTTTACCAGTGCACAGTTACCTATGTAAGTAAACATAGGTACTCTTGGAAGACTGAGGGACTCATTACTGTGCATATTTTCCAAGATTTCACAGCATCTTCACTCCTAGAGAGTGGCTTCATCTTTAGTCATTGATTACCAGGTCTGAAAACTGGTCCAGGTCCAGACATTGAACAAGGGGTTGTAACATTTTATTTGGGCCAAATACCATCAGACCCTTGATCATCCTTAACTTCTATTGGTGGTACAAATAAAGTAGTATTCTTGTTGGTTGCTCCTCCATTTTCAACCCCAAGGTCATCATTGTCTAATAATTCCCAGGCAACACTAATTGCCTCTCTGACCTTGCAATTCATTATAATGGTTGCATTCACTTAGATTCTAAGCACCTGTCTGACTGCTATGGCTATCAGTGAAACTTGTTAATCAGTCACCTTTTTTGTCATCAGCTCTATCCTCTGATGCTGGTGCTCCTGCTGTCAGGGAATTTTTTACTGCCTTGGTAGATACTCCCGGAGTTTGATGTGACATAATCCCCAAGTAGATTTTTCAGTATACATGTATGTACACTCTACCATGCTCACTTGGCCAAATCATTCAGTCTCTTCTTCTACCATCTGCCACAATTCCTTCATTTCAATCTGATTTATTATGGCCATCACTTTTTCCACTTTTCTAGGAGCATCTTATTATAGTACTTATAACAACTATTGTCCACCAGTATAGAACATTGCCTGACATTCCTGCTGCTCTATTCTCTTTGACTTTCTCATGCAGTGTTTGTGGACCCTGACAAGTGTTTCCTTTCAGAAAGGTGCTCTGCACCATGTCCTATTTATCATTTCAATGTGCAGGTACCATTTTATTCTTCCTATGAGCGCTTTCTAAAATGTTTTAAAATGCAGTTAAGTACTTTCTTGCTGAGTATTGATGGACATTTTTGGTTAGGGAGCAAGGACTCAGATTATAGATTTATTTAACTTCCTGACAGTTTTTCACAGATGCACATCTCTGCTTTTACCATTAGTACCACTAGTATGATGTGATTTAGGGCTTAATCTGGCCTTCATGCTAACATTATCCCTAAGTAATGTAAAGTTGGGAGGCCTTGTTCACAAGATGAAGGAAAAATCTAAAAGCCATAACTCAAGCCTTTTTATAGCTCTTCAGCCTGAGGCTCAGAGGAGGGCAGCACAATGTCAGATAATGTTCTATATTGGTGGTTGGCCTTGGCCAAGTGCTCTTATGGGAAAAGAGGATGGAAGGACAGCTTCCTACAAACCACACATATTCTGGGATGTGCAGTTTTTTACATTTTACGAGCTCACTCTCTCTCACTTTTGTGTTTCATCATCAAGGATGCAATTTTCCTCCTAGAATTGTGCATGGACATTACAAACGAAATAAATTTTATGCCTTCTTCAAAGAGGTTACATATGAATGTGATGAAGGATACACTCTGGTGGGAGAGGCAACAATCTCCTGCAGTTCTTCAATGTGGTCGTCTCCAGTCCCTCAATGCAAAGGTAACTCTGGCTCCCTTTTTGGTCCATGGTCCATGGATAGAACTGTCGTGACAGGCTTGAGAGCAAAGTTTCTTCCATTGTTAGAGGCAGCATGAAGACATTTTATTTGATTCAATATATTTTAAATATCTAATATATGTAGGTGATACCCACTGCAAAAGTATAAAAGGGTATACACAAACATTAATCTCCTCTGCTTCTTTCTCTCAGTCACAAAAATTCAGCCTACTTGAGGTAGCTCCTATGTCCCATTTCTTGTAACTATTTCCAGAAATATTCTAGAAGCACAACATTTTATATGAGTGGACCTGTGGACCTGTGGTAAAATTTTCATGAAAATTTGCTGTAGCATGAATATAGGCTATTCTGGGCTAACTCCAAACACCATGAGTGACAGTTATTTTTATCAAAGCCTCCTGCAGGGCACCACCTGACATGATATAGGTGGGTGTCTGTGGGGGAACTCTTAGTGAACAACTGTTGTGGGGACAGGAGGAGTCAAGACCAGGTCTGGTTTTTACAAGGTTGCTATAAACATGCATCACTTTGCTATCAACAACTTCAGGATTTGACAAAATTGTCTCCATTGTACATAGGAGAATAATGGGCAAGAAAGACATTTTTATAGCTAGAATCTTGAGCAATCAAGACTGTGAACGAGAGTTATCTTGCTAGTTGAGGATCTGACTGCTATGGCTATGATACTTTCTTTTAAAAATATCCTGTCATATTATCCTAAAATGTTATGACCTTGAGCCAATTTCTTAAGCTCTTTGTATCTCAACTCTCTCCTTGATAAAATGGGAGTAATAACAGCACTCATTTCATAGAGCTATTGTGAGACTTAAATGAACTAATCATATAAAGTGCTAAGCCCAAAGTCTAATAGGCAGTCATACTCCATAGAAATGATAACTAATATTATTGCTATCAAGATGAAAGAAAAGATAGAACAATTAGCAGCACCTAAGTATGTTCATTCTTTTTATCCTTGAATGTTATCATGCCTTTCTTCTTGGTTTACAGACTGCTTAAAAATATGTTTCCATTATAGCTCTGTGTGTGAAACCTGAAATAGCAAATGGAAGGCTATCTGTGGATAAAGATCATTATGTTGAATCTGAAAATGTCACTATCCAATGTGACTCTGGCTATGGTGTGGTTGGTACCCAAAGTATCACTTGCTCTGAAAACAGAATCTGGTACCCAGAGGTGCCCACGTGTGAGTGGGTAAGTGGCACAGTTCAAAGAAGTTCTGTACTGTCCCTAAAATGGTGGCATTCGTAAAAATGGTGGCATCCCTAAAAATGGTGGCATCCCTCAAATCACTATCCCAGTCAGCAATGGTGAGATATGACATGTCAGAATTCATTTCTGAGTCACTCAGAGAAACTCTTCTTGCCCTGAAGGATTCTGGTGAGTTAGGCGCGACAAGTTCTCCTGCTCTCACTTGAGAACAAGAAAAACTGAGCCCTTACAGAGTAGGATTCCATTGACCCAGGAATACTGATTCTTAAGTTTTGCTAAACTATATGATATACTGTTGTTCTCTTCCTGAATGGTTAGCAGAAATAGCCTCTGGGATTTTCTGGGCACCTGTCTCAGACAGATCTATTTCCATCTGGGAAAGACTATGAAGGCACCAAAGTGATTTCTGGTTTTCCCTGATGAACCACCAATCTGAGGTTGGTCTAGGTCCTGATCCTGTAGTACTTCCACTGTCAGGATACACCCTCCCTCATGGTTTGGAGAGAAACTTCTCACTACCACCACCTCTGTCTCTTTTAGGAGGTCCCTGAAGGCTGTGAGCAAGTACTTGCAGGCAGAAGACTCATGCAGTGTCTCCTTAACCCAGAGGATGTGAAAATGGCTCTGGAGTTGTATAAGCTGTCTCTGGAAATTGACCTACTGGAATTACAGAGAGAAAAGGAAAGATATCCCGCTCCAGTGAAATAACTATAATTTCCCTCAAAAGGTGGAGAAAAGGTTGTCTTTCTGGCTTGTTTCCTGCTAGTCAATACAGATCACTTCAGTTTAGTAAATCTACTGTCCATGTGGCACTGATATTCACTACAGTGAATATCTAGAAATGATATTTTATTAAAGTTTAGTGCTTTCAGATTGTGCAGTTATTGGTCATCTTGTTGCTCATATTTTTGCTTTTCTGGACACAAAATGCACATTTTTTTCAATTAAAAAGTTGCACATCAAAAACTATTTTGTCTTTGTGGTCACTTAGCAGACTGTGAAATAAGGCTTCTAAACAAACCCATTATATAAATTAATATATTTATTTTACATATGGGCCAGAAAAATAGGTTCTTGGGTTCTTATCAATATGTGTCCCTGGACTGCTTTTACTCCATACTTCCACATGTGCATAACACTCAGATCTTCCATGTTCAGATTAAGTGTCAACACAACCCAAAAGCTTTGTTCATTCTCATCTGGGGGAGCCATCACCTCCTGTGAACTTCTGTTCTCATTGCTTCTTCCACTCATGATGCATCTCAACCATTGCCTTCCATGAAGAGGGTTTATATTGTGTCTTTCAACCCCAGAGAAGGAACTCCAAAAGACAGATGAAGGTGAAGCCCAATGTCAGCTCCCTGTGTATTCCTAAGACTTCCATTTGGTTTAGTCACCATTTTCCTTAATATTAAATTAAAATGGCTTGAGCAATTGTCCCACACATAAAGAGAACTTCTGTATTATTATTTTTCATATCTCTGGATATTGTGAAGGCTTTTAATCCTTTAAGTCATTGCTTGCTCCAACTCTTGCATCCTCTAAAGTTTCTTTCTTACTTATATCTCAGCTCCTTTGGCTTTCTCCTCTCTCCCTGTACACAGAATTCTATGGGGGAACATTAGGTTCTTTGGTTTAATTTCCCTGAAGACACTCTGTGGAGGCACTAGCCTATAGAAGGCTTTCACTGAACTTCAGATATAATAGAGGGACTGGAACTGTTAGAGAAACCCACTGCTGTAGTTTGAATGTTTGTTCCTTCTAAAACTGTTGAAACTTAATCCCCAATGAGGAAGCATCGAAAGGTGCTTTAAGAGGTGAGTGGGTCATGAGGGCTCTTGTCCTCATGAATGGATTACTCCATATATGAATTAATGTGTTAACAGATTAATGGATTATTACAGAATTGGAACTGATGGCTTTACAAGAAGAGGAAGAGAGGCTTGAGCTAACAGGCTCAGCACCCTTATCATGTGATGCCCTGTGCCACCTTAGGCCTCTATAGATTTTCCACCAAGAAGGCCCTCACCTGATGCTGAGCCATGCCCTTGGACTTCCTAGCCTTTAGAATTGTAAAAAAGAAAAAATAAACAAATGTATTTTCTCTATAAATTATGCAGTTTCTGTTCTGTTCTGTTATAAGCAACAGAAAACAGACTAAGACACTCACAAACTCACAGCTAATATCATAGTTCAAGTTATCCTGCTGCCTCAGCTTACTGAATATCTTGTGAAACCACCCAGATAAACTTAATATAGGGCCACAGGATAAAAGTTGTGAAAAAAAACCTGAGTCTCACAAAGTTGTAGGCATAAGTTATAGGTCAACAAATCTGTTATTTCTAAGTTTGCCTTCTCCCTTGTGTGATTGCTTGTACATAGTTGCTTTAGTAGAGAACAGTCACAAATAATTGAGTATCTTCATATTTTAACCCCCTGGGAAAGCTGTCCATGAGATTGATGAAACTATTTCCACTTAAACAATGAACCTTATGTCAGGCAGACCTCCCTGATGGTATCCAAGAGTTTCATTGACCTTCTACATACCTTTTCTGTAAAGGTATAAGCGGAGGTAAATGGTAACCAGTCATTGTCCCCTAGTTTGCTGCTTCTTTTTTTTTTTTTTGAGTTGGAGTCTCATTCAGTCGCCCAGACTGGAGTGCAGTGGCACACTCCCGGCCACCGCAGCCTCGACCTGCTGGGCTCCAGCGATCCTTCTGCCTCAGCCTTCCAAGTAGCCGGAACTTCAGGTATGCAATACCATGCCCGGCTAATTTTTTTTATTTATTGTAGAGACGAGGTCTCGCCAAGTTGCCAGGTAGGTCTCGAACCCACAGGCTCAGGCAATCCACTCACCTTGGCCTCCCAAAGTGCTGGGATTACAGGCTGAGCCACCGAGCCCGACCTGGTTTGCATCTTTATAATGGCTTACTGCCCAGGAGCCGGGTTACTGGGGGCCACAAGACTTGTAACTTCTCCAATTGCTATTGTAAAACCTAAGATTGGTCTTTGAAGTATTTTTCAGACTTTGCATTTTGGTGGACCAAATGGATCCACCTGAATGTGTGACCCACACCAAGGAGCTGATCTAACCAGTCCTCACCCCATGGTTCTGCACACAGGGACAGTTTTGACAACTCTATGACTTCATCCCTACCCAATCAGCAGTGCCCAGTCCCTAGTCCCATGCCTGCCAAATTATCTTTAAAAACCCAAGCCTAAAAGTTATCAGGGAGGTAAATTTGAGAGGTATCTCCCGTCTCCAGCTCAGCTGTCCTGTGATAATTAAACTCCCCCTTTACTGCAACTGCTGCTGTCTCAGTGAATTGTTTTTCTGTGCAGTAGATATAGGGACCTGGTCAGATGGTGATACTAGGACTCCAAGTAAGTGTCACGACACCTAGCTAATTATTATTTTTATTTTTTCTGAGACAGAGTCTTACTATGTTGCCCAGGCTAGTCTTGAACTCCTGATCTTAAGTGACCTTCTGTCATGGCCTCCCAAAGTGCTGGAATTACAAGCATGAGCCACTGTGCCTGGCCCCAGCCTTATTGATTTTTTCCTCTGCTTGATCAAATTTGCTATTGATGCGTTCTGCTGAGTTCTTCAATTTAGTTATTATATTTCTAGGGTTTCTATTTGGTTTCAAAAAATTGTTTCTACTTATTTGTCAAATTTCTCCTTTTGTTTCTCAACTGTTTTTTAAATTTCATTTAATTTTTTATCCATATTTTCTTGTGATTCCCTGAACTTTTTTTAGAGAATGATTGCAAGTTGTTTGCCAGACATTTCACAGATCTTTAATTCTTCTGGACCTATTACTGGAGTTTTGTCAGTTTCTTTTAGTGGGGTCATATTTCCCTGATTTTTCCCAATCCTGTGTCTTTACATTGATACCTGCACATTCGAGAAGATATCCACCTCTTCCAACTTTTGCATGTGTTCTTTGGTGGTGTCAGACCTTTACTACTTATTATCAGAACTTAATTGCTGGCTTGTAGTTGCTTCCCACTCTGGAAAGGAAGTATAGTGAGCACCAGAACTTAAACACTGCACTGGAACTAAAGCACTGCCCTGTCTTTGTTTCTGAGTCTGGGGAAGACTAATTGTGAGTACTGGAACTTAAATATTGCACAGGAACTTAAACACAGACCTCCAGTAGTTTCTGGAATGGGGGAAGAAATAAGTGAACACCAGTGCTTAATAGCTGACCTTTTAGTTATTTCCAGGTCAGGGGAAAGTTCCACACAAACACCTGGGTTGTGTGGAAAATCCGATCAGCAACTGGGGTCTTCCCCTGAATTGTGTCCCTTGAAGAACTATGGCACTGGACAGTCTCCTCTGTGTGGTGTCCCTGCTGATTGAAATGCTGAGTAGCCACCAAGATCCACTTGCTAGTTGCTATGATCAGCATCCCCCCTCCCCCGCTCTTCGTCTTCAATTCACCCCAGATGGTTCAACCCTCTTGACATTCCCATTGCTTCCTGTGGGACAAGACTGAAGTAGGCTTCTTGTGAGAATTCCCAGAGCAGTGGGGATATTGAATGTCCACTTCCAGTTCCCTTCTCCCACCTTGGAAACCGTGGGTCCAGGGAAGTTCTCTGTGAGTGGCAGTTATGGCAGCTTAGGGGAGCGGGTGTTATGGTCTAAAATGACTGTTTCTCTTACTAGTTGTGGCTTTTGTTGTTTCTGTGTGTTCACTGGGGTCTCTCTTCTCCCTCGTGTTCTGGTGAACCCAGAGTGTATTCTTGTCTTTGAAGTTGCTAGTTGTACATTACTTTTTTGGGGAGAAGTGGTGCTGAGGGTCTTCTGTTCCACCCTCTTACTTATGTGACTATGTTGATTGTTTATGTTTCAAATGTATTTCATATGTAAAAATCTTTGGTGGATTTTTTAGTTGTGTTTACTGATCTAGAGAAACTGGTTTGGATATTGGGATTGACTGGGAAATAATTTTTTTTCCCATTTTATAAATTAATTTTATAATTTCACAAGTAAGTTAATTTCACAATTAATTTCATAAATGAAATAAAATCCCCATTATTTGAAAAGTCATCTTCCACATCATTTTTATTAGTGGATTGAATGGGTAGATAAGTATACTTGTATTTTCATATTATTTAAGAGCACAAAATAAACAGTTGAGGCTTTTAAATAGTAGTCTTATGTTTCCTTCCTTACCATCAATTATTAATGTAAAGGAACAGTACAGGCTTACATTCACACTGATTTAAATTAGTCTTCCAGTCTTTAATTTATTCTTTTATTTAAATGCTTTCCAAAAATTATCTTCAACATATTAAAACAATGAAAGTAGGTATAAATAGCTCATATTCATTCCAATATCAATTTTTATCTTTGCATTTTAAATCTAAGTTTCACATTTAAGATTTTAACTTTGTACATAATTTGTAAATTATAAACCATGTTACAAATGCATCTATTTCTTGACTTACCAGCTTTATTATTTATTTTATTTTATTTTTTGTCAGAGTCTCACTCTGTTGCCCAGGCTGGAGTGCAGTGGCATGATCACAGCTTTCCGCAGCCTTATCCTCCCGGGCTCAAGGGATTCTTCTGGCTCAGGCAATTCTTCTAGCTCAGACAGTTCTTCTGCCTCAATCTCCGGAGTAACTGACACTATAGGCTCACACTTCCTGCCTGGCTATTTTTTGTAAAGATGAGATCTCACTCTGTTGTCCAGGCT